ACTTGTTTTGATTAGACAGGGTTTCTTAAACTTGGGCATGGGACCCCCCCCCCTAATATTTACGAACATTTTGCGGGACCCCATAAACATTGCACAAATCCGACACACGTGCGAGTGAAACTATCAGTTTCTTCACTTGTACTGTAATATACTGTAGCAGTTTTAGGTCACTGACTTTAATTTTTAAAGTAAAATGAAAGTTTCTATTATAAAAAGAATGCTTCAAAACGTTTTCTTTTTTTTTTTTTTTTTTTTTTTCAGGCACATTATTTAAAAAGTATTTGGTAATTGTAAAATTATTATAATAAAGTTAAAGAAAATCCAAAACTTTGCTAAAATTTTTGGTACGACCTCCGTTACTGCTAGGTTCCCACGACCCCCAATTGGGGTTCGCTACCCACAGTTTAAGGCTACCCACAGTTTAAGGAACTCTGGATTAGTGGAAAAAAGAAATCTTATACACAGTTTTCTAAAGAAAGCAGGCTTATGTTCACATTACATACAGAGAGAATTACGAAAAGCCAACCCTTTCGCTGGAATTCGAACTTCAGTTAAACTACCAGTGTCCCATGATTTTACCTACTCGGCTAATCGTGGGTTATGGTTTTAAATTTATTAATAGTTTTGAAGATAAGACATCATTAATATACCTGGGAGAAAATATCCAGGAAAAGAGGAAAGTAAGGATAAATCTTTCTAAGTGAGCTTTCTATTGACAGCAACTGACGGCAGGAATTGCACTGCATGGTAAACCAAAGTGGATGCGATAGATGATGTTGTTTCGTTTGGTAGACTCTGGTCTAAAATTTAAAATAGTTATTCCTAATAGCTGAAATATAGCTTAAATAAATTAGGCCCGCAATTTTAAGTTGAAAACACAAACTGTTTTTGAAATATGTTTAAGTTCTCTATGGTATCGAAAAGATTGTTGTGAAAGATAGAAAGCGATTTATAAGTTGGTCAAGAATCCTTTTAGAACTAATGATCTTTAATGATGTCACTTTGAGTAAAAATTGGGCAATTAACATGGAAGCACATAACATAGAAATTAACCTGGAGCAATTAACAAGGAAAGCATCAATATTGAGAACTGATATTGATGAATATTATTCGAAATAATACAAACCTCTAGCGTGGAAGTTCGTGATTAGATAACGAACGGATAGATTCTCACAGATACGTCTCCCCCTAAACACACATGATTCAGTTCTTTGAATCTGTTCATTATCAAAATAAAAACTCCTTCAGCAGATAGCTTTAAATTTTGAAAGAGAAAACAGTCACATGGAGACGAATTTGGAAAAGGGAGAAATGAATGAATAAACGAACTTTTGTTAGGGGCTACAAGTGGTTGCATACGTTTACTGACTTTTGAGAGGGTCATACACAATGCATTTTGAACAAGTTTTCAATTGAACACAGTATTAAAAAATAATCTGCTTGTTTAGGTAAAGAGTTACTTTAAAAAGTGCTCCCTTTCAAAATGCTGTATCATTTTCAACCATCACTTTTGTTAGTATTAAAAAGGAATACATTCTAATAATTTTAGTGGTGTAGAAAGTTTTGTATGGTACTTCCGTACGATTATAAATGAATGAGATATTTGTATAAGGAGATATCATACTTTAATTTTCAGGTTAGGTTATACAGATATAGAAAAGCACACAAGGGCTATCTGCCTAGTAAGAGAGATGCCTTTGTGGAGGACTTACCAAGAGAAAGTGATTCGTATTTCACCTAACATAAGGGAAAAATCCTGAAAACCAACCATGCAGCTAACCCATTCAGCTGGAATCGAACTCCCAGTATTCAGGGGTAATTTTCAGTGTCTTTTCTGATACTTCATTTTTCCAGTTTGTTAAATTATTCTATATAAAATATTTGACAAAGGAAATCTTAAATAGCTTATATTACTAAAAGACTATCATGCATTGGCTGTGTGCAAGATTAAAAATTCTTAATTCATTTTTTAAAGGTTAATTCTATTTCTTGGGGGGAGGGACCACGAAAAACTCCCATACAGACAGCTCATTCACCGGGATATGAACTGGAGCCGATCTAGCTGTTTTCAGCAATATTACCGCAGGCCGCTGATGGATCTTAACAATAGTTTTAATACTGGTAAAAATTTAAAGCTAATACATGATTTGCAACTGCTACTTGTACTCTTTATGGTGCATAAGTTGATGTATATTGCATATCAATAGATAATTGATCAGCCAGTTCCTTATCATAGGTATTATAGCACATGGCATAGCAAAATTTCCTATTTTAAAAAGAACTGAGTTTTAATTTTCCCATTCGAGTAAAAATTGTAAGACCTACTTCCAAGTGCTAAATAAGAGTTGAAATGCAGAAATCAGAACTTAAATTTACAATGTATTCACATGTCTTATAATTTATAGACACACATTTTTATTCAGATAATTTACTTCCATTTTTGTTTGTATTTTTCTTATAAAGTTAATTAAGGATTTTAATTATACACGAAAATTTATCTTCATTTCTTTAATTCATGCGATGTCAGACACAGTAGCGTAGCTAGAGGGGGCTGGTTCGCCACAAACGACATAATTTTGAGGTGCCAATTTCATGTGAAATAATATTTGATGAAGGTTAGTTCTGTGGATCTTTCAAGCAAATAAAGAAAAATACGATTCTGAATTATCGTATGGAATTAATTTAAGAAAAAAATAAATTTTTCTGTAGATCTGTATCCAAAGGTATCATTGTGAGATTTCAACAGCTATGCACTCTTATACAATTTTTATTCATTCAAAATTTGAAAATTACGAATATCAACTAAACTGTGATCTCGGTTTATTAAACCTAGATACTACTAGGGGGAAGTAGCGAGATTAAGCAATTCTTTTCTTCCAAATACGAGCGATATCTGTCAGATGTAAATTTGTAATATGAGCTGTGTTTGTTTGCACCCACTGCAGTGCGTAAATGGAATATGAGCTGAACTCATTGAAGACCATCAAAAAGTTAATAAAAAAGAATTCCCTCAGTTAGAGAGAAGTGTTTCAAAGTTTTATTTTCGTTATTATTGCTAAAGAAAACGAAACAGGAATGTGGAAGGTGAATCCTGTTGACAATTTGCTATTTGTTCTAAAACACAGTTCTTGAGATAATGTAATTTTTTACTGCTGAGAATTTTTTTCACAATTGCTGTGTTTCTAATTGTGATAAGAATTTTTTAAATAGAAATCATTTTAGAACTACAAATGATTAATTTTTCATTTAAGAAATAGTTCTGTACTATCAGCATAGTACTCTGTGATAGGTGGCTATGCAAACAAATATAACAATAATAATACAGTTTTATAATGATGGAATTAAAATTTTTTTCAGAAGTAAAGGTAGATTTTTAATTTATTTTTCTCTATGTCATTTTTCACATTCAGTCATTTGCTTATACGAAGAGAGGCAAATTCAAAGACTACCTAAATGGACACATTCAGGGTCCGCCCTGGGCGGCAAGTGTTATAGCTATGCCGAATATAATTTAAATTGAAGAAATTTACAGAACAGATTATAGCCTTTCGAAGACAATCTTCAACACATTTAAAATATTTGGTTTTCTATGAAGATGATTGTTTAAAAGTAATGTTTTATGTTTATTTTCAGAAAGACTTGCCATTTTAAGAGGTGGTTGTCTTAAGTTATCATACAAAAACTTGACTATAGAATGATTGAGTCATATTTTTATTTTATCGTTCCTACCACTTTTAATGTGGTAAAAATTTTATAATGTCCGATGCACAATAGGTAAATCAAAATTCCTAAATGGGACAAGAATAAAAATATTACCAATGCAACACAAGGACTTCCTTCAAAAAAGCTTTGATTATTAATAATTGTTATCTTAGAGTTTATAACTTATCGAAAAGCAAATCTGCGTTTTTAAATATTGGAAATGAAATTTACTAAATCTACAGAAGGCAATGAACGAATAGAAAGTATTAATTCATTACAGCGCTTAACATTGCACAAGTGAAGGATGATCACAGAATGTATATCCTTTCTGCTTTGAAAAAGACTTCCTACGAAGTCTTTTCCACTCTCCAGTATTCCAGATGTTGTTCATAGCTTAAGAGGTTGTGTTATTTCAATCCTAATGCGGTTTTGTTATGATTACCCGGGTCATTAGCGTCAACTCTCTTTGGCAAAAAATTTCATTTTCACTTCGGCGAGAATCCTGCCAAAGGTAGGAACCCATTATTCTGATGTCAGAAAACAGGTGCGACGGTCAGTGCCATCTATTGCCAAAAGGCTACATTCATGTTTCTCAAAATTCACTCTTAATCCTGAGCACCAGTTGGGAAAAGTTTACAGCAATGCAGACACGGCAAGGAAACTGCAGATGCCTTAAACGTGTTGCACTTAAATTGAAAATTAATAATTTAAAGGTCTGTTGACAATAGGACCCAATTAAGTTTTAATTTGTTAATAAATTTTTCTATTTATTTTTATATCTTACACACTTATTATTTCTTTAATTATATATATGATACATAATATATATATAATATGTATATTAATTATATATATATATATATAATTAAAGAAAGTACATTGCAAGAAATATTATCTATGTAACTTTTTAAAGCATTTGCTTTTCTTTATATTTCATGCCATTCATATTCAGTTTCTTGAAATTTTATTAGTCACGTATTCCTTTTCTATATATACCCAATTATTCTTTAACTTTGCCAAATAAGACACTTATTTTAAAAGCTCTAGTTAGAACAATAAACTAAAATTTAATTTTGAAAGATATGAACATTTGTTATCAGTTAGATTTTAGATACTCTTGCATTCCATCATAATAATACATTTTCTTGAATTAATATAAAGTAAAATTCGTACATGAAATGAAGAGGTATAAAATCACCATAAAAAATTTTGTTTACAAATGAGAGATTTCTATGCATAGAATTTGAGGAAATTATTTATTATTGAGTATCACTTAAAATTATATTTAATACACTTACCCTTTCAACCATTTCTTCAGGAGTTATTTCTGGATCATAAGGTACAGGCTGACCCACAAATGTTCTAATTACAGAAAAAAAGTAAAATCATTACTACAACATCTGAGAGAGAATGCAATCTTGTACAAGCAGCTTTTTATATATTTTTGAAAATTTCCCATTGCCTTTCGAAAGGACAAAAAGCAGTCTCCCTTATGAACAAGCTAATATAGGGTGTTTGTAAATGAATGGTACAGTTTTAAAAATTAATAATAAATTGATGCGTTTAAAAACTTACAGCACAACCAGCAGCAACTGTTCAAGTTTCTGTTGCATTAATCACAATCTGTCAATATATGCACCCTTGGTTACAAGATACACATCTACATGCTAATCAGATTCTTCACGTACTTGGTATGGTACATCTGCCCTGACAGTCTGCAGTGTGCATACTTTATCTGATCGCAAACTTCCTTAAGGGACACAGGCATTGGCGGCAAACTCAGTCTTTAACAACTCTCCACAGAAAAAAATTGCATGGTGTTAAATCTGGCAAACGGAGGGCAGGAAAGAAGGTTGTTGTATGTTGTTGCACCACATGCAATCCAACATTGCTTGAGAAAACGATTAAGAAGCTTCCATGTACTCCTATGAAAATGTGGTGACACAACATCCAGTTACAAAATGTAAACATCATAATTGGTGTTCAGCTAGGATAACAACCAGGTTTCCAACATAGAACCAGGTTTCTCCCAGAAATGAGTCATCAACTACAGTTTCTTGTATGAAGAAAAATGGGCTGTGCACCATCTCACAGCACAGCACAGAAAATGTGCACAAACTTTACGCTGCACTGGAACCACAGATCTGGACACCTCAAACATTTTCCTGTCATGGTGCCATCTTGAAAACTGAAGCTGCAGCTGCATGGCAAGCAAACAGCAGACAGCGCATGAGAAACTTGGACAGCTGTCAATGCTATTGGTGCAGTTTTACATGGGTAAGGTAGAACATAGTTTTCTTATTAATTTTTAAAACTGCAATATTCATTTGTAAACACCCTGTATTTGCTCTTACAGAAAAAAAATTACTTGTCTCTAGAAACACACTGAGTTTTTCCATTCTAAATTAACACAGATCAAAATTTATTGCTTAATCAAAATCTCTGTATACTGCATCGTTACTGCAGTACATCATGTAAGATCATGTGTAAAAGTTTTATATATTCACTGGGCAAAGTGTAAGATATTTTCAAATTTAATCAATGTCATCAATATAAAAAAGCATGTTGTCACTTGGCAAAATATTTTTCTTTCATATTTAACAAACAAACTCAGCAATCTGAAAGAAATGTGTAACTGCAGCCCGAATTAAGAATAACAGTTTTATCTTCGAAATGGTAGTGTGTTGTTGTTTAACAGAGCATAAGATAACACTTAATTTTTTCAAATTTATTTTATTATTAATTATCAAAGATCGAAACTTAAAAGCAATAAATGCATATTTCAATTATTATTAATGACTGGCTGGATTCATTAAAATAATTATATATATAAATTGTTTTGTATATGTATAATATATATACACTTTCTTATTTAATAATAACTATTTTAGGTGGTTGACAATATAAGCAGCTAGTATAACTAAATAACGTAATGGAAATAAATTTTTTTATTTACACTTTTTAATATTCAGAAAATCATAATTTAATTACTCTACATACTTCAATTTAACAGGGAATCCTCCATAAATAGGAACAAGAGGAATACGAGTCTTTTCATAAATACCCCGTAACCATTCTGTAAGAAAGGAATATAACAATTAAAACAAGTAATCATTAAAAATTTCAGAAAATATTTCCACATTAAGATATATATCTATTTGATATCTTTAGAACTGATTTCTAAAAATAATAAATCTGGTTAGTATAACTCAATCTAAAATTATTATAAATAATTAATATACTCAGATGGGATGCTAAAAAATTATACAATATGTCTAAAGATATTTCTTCCTTTTCATATTCATACTAGGAATTCACCAGAAAGTATAATGGTATTTGAAAAGAGTTTGCATACCTAAGCATACCCAAACTAAATCTGCCAATCCTTACTTTTCCTTTTATTGTTACATCAGTAATTTCTGATTACTAGCATCCCATGAAAAGGAAGGACTTTGCGAATTGATGAAAAGCATTTGTTTGGTTATTTTTATAGCTCATAAGTACCATTCTATTCATAAATAATAAAATCAAGCATTTTATAAGAAACAAGGAATCTTATGAAACAAACAAAACCAGAAAAATAAAAAAAATCCACATGAATGATATTTGCATTTTTACAGCTGGTTGAAGATCATTGGTTACAGATCATTGAAAAAACAGATAAAGTGAGCAAGCAAAGCCACGTGCATTGTAATATTTGTGTGATACCTACATGAATGGGTTGGGTACTGTTGCATATATATCTGAAAATATGCCAAAAATGTAGAAATTATATCTTTTGTTGAAATCGGGAGGTGCAGATAATCAAAATGTTCAATCACTTGAAATTTACAAATTACCTAATTATCAGCATGCTTTACTCCAAAAACAAGTAAAATTTAAAGCATATAATCTTAAATGGCAGAAAAGATCATGCATTTTACAGCATCATAAATTTAATTACCATTTTTAATAATGTAATATACATAGCCTGCAAAAAAGCAAAATGTTGTATAATACCTCAATATATATATATATATAGCAAAAATACATCAAATATTATGATTTTTAGAGCTTGGAATTCACTTTTAAGAAACTTTTATTCTTTTCAGTGAATTTGAAATAATGGGGAGAAGCAAAGAGAGCAAAACAAATATGATGAGTGGCAAAAGCAAAATCCTGTTATATCTTTTATAACAAGAATTCTCAAATGGATATAATTAATCCTTGATAATAATATTTTCTGTTTCAGAAAAAAAGCAAGAAAAACTCGCAACTGTATAAATCAAATATGACAATGTGTAACATAATTTTGAGAAACTTATTAATTTTTGGTGTGTGTATGTAAAGATACAGTTACAGAAATCTGAAATATTTTTAATATACATGTAATTTGAAATTACTTAAAAATTGTTACATATATAGATTCATTGTGATGCAGTACCATAGAAGACACTGAAGCTAATAGCAAACATGATTAATACCTTCTTTTTTAAGATGCCTGTTGATATTTCTTTCATTTTTAACATCTTATTGCTCACAGATGGTCAAAGTGGCCATTTTGATGCATAGACTTTTGCTACTAAAATATAATATTCAACAAAAATATGTACAGCATGCTAACTACAAGTTCAGCATTCCCAAATCTATTCTCCCCCACTCCTATCACAAATGCCTTCAACTATGGATCATTAGACAGATCTTGCAAAATTAAAGCAATGGATAACGTGAAACATTATGATTTCTGTCGGTACCTTTGCAGAAATTAAGTGATGATCATACATTATTAGTTAATCTTCATATTCTGTTATTCAAGACTTCAGATTCATCATAAATTGGTTAATTGAATTGAAGGCAGGCATACAAAAGCTATCTGCCTACAGGAAAACATGCTTTTGCAGACAGCAACTTTTTTAATAGCAATTGGTTGATACTCGCATGGTATACGAGAAAATCTATAAACATGCCATTTCGTACAACTAGCTTGGAATGAAACTCCAGTTGAACTATCACTGTTCTGCAATCTTACCAATTTGCCTACAAGTAGGCTCCCAATCATCATAATTAATTGACTGTAATGTAAAACACACTTTCTGAGTTGTTTCCATTAAAAAATGTTTGCAAATTACATTGAGTAATAAGATATAATGAAAGACTATTTGTAAATAATTTACACAAACATGCACAACTGCTAAAAGGAGGATTACACATATCCAAAGTAATTTGAGCTAAACTCTACGTACATGTAAAAAAACGTTAGTTGGTTACTTCTTTTTTGCAAGCTAAACTGTGCACTATCAAGCAAGGGAGAAAACTTCATTTTTCATTTATCATACAGTAGATTCATGATTATCCGTGCTCTGCTCCGCGGATAATTTCTTATTTTATTGTGTTCAGTGCTTGTGCTTTTTGGTTTTGTGTTTTTCATTACTGATTTAAAATGTCAGAAAAACGAAAGAAGGTTGTGTTGACGACTGCGCAAAAACTAGAATTAATTTCCAAAGTAGCAAACGGCGCTACAATGCAGCAGATGGAATTGGATAACGGAATCGCGGAAACAACAGTGCATGACATTCTAGAGCAAAAAGACAGACTGGTGAACTTTTCATTGCGGACAGTGCTTCCGCAATGAAAACGCGAAAAACTATGAAGGGTTCTACCTCTGATGAGCTAGACATGCCATTGACAGAGTGGTTAGCTCATATTGGAAAAGAGGATACTCATGTAAATGGTCTTATCACTGCGGCGAAGGCAAAAACCTTTTTTGAGTTGTTATGCCTGAAAGGAAATTTTGATGCGTCTTCTGGCTGGTTGACTTGTTTTAAGCAGCGACATGTAATTCGAGAAATTAAGACTTCATGGGAAGAAACTTAGTGGTGACCAACAAGCAGCCGACGATTTCCACCATGAATTTGAAGAATTTGTTTTAAAAGAAGAGCTATTTTTTGAACAAATTTACAATGCCGACGAATCGGGACTTTTGTAGAAATGTCTTCCCAATTGCATTTTAGCATTTGAAAGTAAAGCGGCGGGTCATAAAAGCATAAAGGAAAGGATCACTATCATGTTTTGCAATAATGCTAACAGTGGACATAAACTTAGACTTGTTATCATTGAAAAGTAAAAAAACACGAGATCTTTCAAAGGCACAAGGATAGAAAATTTGTCCGTTGATTACTTTAACCAAAAAAAAAAAAAAAAAGGATGGATGAACTGAAACATTTTCAAGAATGGTTCAAAAAAATCTTTGTCCTTTAAGTGCATAAACATCTTAAATTGAAAAACCTGCCTGTAAAAGCTGTGCTATTGATCGACAACGCATATTCTCACCCAGCAACAAGCGTGCTAAAGTCTTCTGATGGACAATTTTGCAAAGTTTTCTCCTCCCAAACGTTACTGCGCTAATCCAACCATGGACCAGGAGTCATTGCAACAATTAAAGAGAACATACCGAACCATCTGCTAATGAACAAATTGAAGAAGGTTATGATTGAAAGTTTTGGAAACACTACACAATCTTAGACAGCATCTACGATATTGCATCTGCATGGGACTCAGTGAAACCGTCAACCCTCATAAATCATGTTGAAAACTCATGCCTAATGCTGAAGCCAACAACAACCTAACCCCTTTGAGTTGTCAAGAAGAGAATGAAGATGTAGACACGCCCACGGCAGTTCTTCCCGATATGGTGAAAACAGTTCCGGGTGGTGAGAACGTCGATGCTGAAAACATTAACGAGTGGTTAGAGTGTGACGTCAACGAACCTGGCTTCGAACGCTTGACAGATGACGAAATTGTGAGGAAAACAAGGGCAGAGACCAAGAATGAAGGACAATGAAGTGAAGGCGAAGAAGAGCCCACTGTGCAGATGCGGAAGACTCACGAAGTGGCTTTGCAGCAAGTCGACGGACTCCTGAGCTATTTGGAAGAACAAGACTACGCGGAGTTGGCAAAGAAAATTATGCTACGAAAAATGCAATCTCGGATCAAGAGAAAATGCTTCCAAAGCAAGAAGCAAACACAAATGACTGATTTCTTCAAAAACGTGTAGTTTTACAGTTACGCTTTTATAATTACATAATACATTACAGTATTAAAACAGTACATATGTATTAATTTTTCTGTGTATCCTTGATGCCTCTCATAAGTACAAAGCACTTTTCTGTTTTCATTAACAAAATGGATTTTAGGTTAGTTTTGAGAGATATGCTAAAATATTAAGCGTTAAACATTTCCTGCTGTTTTTTTTTTTTTTTTTTTTTTCCGTTTTATTGTACATTAAACGATTTTTCAAAGTTGGATTGACTGTTTTCACTTTTGCTATACCCGTTTTTAGTTTTTTTCGGATTATCCGCGATTTTTGTTATCCGCAGCGACCGCATCACCCAATTCTGCAAATTATCGGAAGTGTACTGTATTTTGTTTCAATAAAATTAATATATTTTTTATTATTTTTTTTCTGCATAATATGTTTTAATTATTAAGAATAATTTTTCCTTTAAGAATAAAAGCTTGCATAAAAAAGCAACATACATTAAAAGTCCAATAATTGAATATAAGAATGCTGCAGATGGTAATACAAAAATTTCTTATGGAGAGAGGAAATTAACATACTACCACTATACACTTTAAGCCCAAAGGGGCATAGGCCCAGAAGACCTATTAGTCTCAAAACAGCATTTGGCGTCGAATCACTAAAAGCATTGAATCACTTTTCAAATTGCTGCCACCAAATATTATCACTCTGTATTATATTTAAAGAAATTAAATAATGAAGAATTTGCATTCATGTATGTATGTTTCTCACACTCAGAAAAATAACAGCAACTATAGCCATCACAAAATTCAAATAACGTAGTCCTCCACCTGAATACGGGCACCTGTAAGTCCAAATTTTGAATTTGTTTAATTACCTACTTCATTTTTCATAAAACTTTAATGAATTTTTAATTAAAAATCTCAACAATTTCAAAGTGAACAACGACAATACTGTAATATAAAACATTTTTATCTTCAGCATGCGATACTGTTTATCAGGAATTCAAAAGATATGCTGTTTTTAAATATTTTTAGCTCAAAGGAGCATTAGCCCAAATACTCTCGAAATGTGCATATGTGTATAAATGAAAAAAAAAAAAAAAAAATGTCCCTTTGCCATAATATAAAGTCTGAAAGCTTACAGATTTTTCTTTTTTACTTTTTTTTAATCTACTTAAGAAGCACTAATTATAATTAAGAAGTGATTCATTCACTAAGTAAAAAACAGCAGGCCATTCTAGAGCCTATAACTGCTTTTAAATTAACATTTACAAGTTACATATTTGACAAATACCAATCTAAATATCATTTCAATTCCTCCAAATTGATTCCTGTCACACATTACGATCTAGCAATTTCTACAAAACCGACATAAATGAATTTACTTTGAAATGGAATTTTTCCACACACCACAGGACTAACTGATTTTGTTGAATGCTGAGTCACAGGTATTGTATATTTTTTAGCATAATGAGGAAATATTATATATCTCTCAGCATTACTGATTCTAGATTTTGGCAGTAATTTTATTACTGTCCAAACTGAAATATGGTGAAAAATTTGATTAACTTCTTTCTTAACTTCTTTCTAATAATAATAAAAAAAAAAAAAATTCAGAAGAAAGAAACTTAAAAAGTGACCATGATAACAATTAAAATGTTTAATTTGATGGAAATTCAGATGCTTTGTTAGTTCAAAGAATGAAATTAACAGAGATGATTTCAAAAGCATAAAGTTGCCCTGCAAAATAAATAAAAGTACTCCCCAAGTTGGTTCAGTTTTACAGATACTACTGGTTGAAAATACAGACGACAAACATGTTTATTCCTGAAATATTTTTTATTTCCTTTTATGATGAACTTGCAAATCATATATTTACTGAAATGAGTCATTAAAAGCAGTAATTTAAGAATGCACAACATTCAAGTACTCATGATTAATTTGATTTCAGTATGAATTTTTTCAGTACAGTCAAAAGTCGTTAATTCGGATACCCATAACTCGGAATGATCTATAATCCGGACCTCAAAGCTAAAAACTTTCTGCGCATGCGCTGCGTTGACACATGCGCATAGGTGTTTATGGGTGCACGTAAGGCCTTTTACAACTGCACATACGAGTGTGCGCAAGCGCAGAATACATTTTCGCATGCGCGTTTTATGTATAACGGACGGTATAAGCTAAAATTATCTAATTATCGATTTCAGTTAACGTTGATGATTGCGTTGTTCCTTAATTTTCGAATTGGATCCGGCTTATTATTTTTTGCAGAGTGTAAGAGCAATACTATAAAAGTAAACTTGAACTTTCGATTATGTCAAATAGAATTTCCGATTCTGGAGCTCCCAAAGGATTGTACAAAACGAAAGTATGTTTTGATGTTCATCAAACAAAAATTGGAATTGCTGCAAAAAATGGATAAAGACATGAAAAATGTGACAGAAAGGTTAGTAAAAACGAAAAAATTTCGATTGACAAGTTAGTCGGTATTCTCGACACAGCAATTAACGGGACTTGAACAGCGGAACTTTGTAACTGAACAAGAAATTATGTCTGTTTATAGAATTAAAGAGAAAGTATTATCACATAAAATGAAGCAACTTACATTGAAAGAAATCTTTATTAAAGTAAACAAATAAATATTAAGCTTTTTTTTTTTGTAAATTTTGATACCCTTTAGATCATAATTGTTCTTTATTTCATAAATTACGGTTCCATATTTTTAATTTTAGAATTTCTGCATGCCATCTTACGAGGTTTAAACTGATGATCTATAATCCGGAATCGCCGAAGTCCCGACGAGTCCGGATTAACGACTTTTGACTGTATTAATATTACAAATATTATAACAAGACTATATGCAATGTTTGTTAAAACATTAAATCTGAAGCACAATGCAATAAAATAATAATAACAATAATAAAAGCTGTAATAAATATATGTAGTGTATAATTAGGATAAAATAACATGGCAAACAAGTATTAATTTAGAAGTCAAACAACAAAAATCAGCGATATATTTGTAAATTTTCACAGGACTAGTTTCAATGGTTTTATCGAACCATCCTCCTCAGCTGCCAAATCGCAAATGAAGGAGATAATCTATAGTGATTAGACAAGATAAGATCAGAATTACTGGACAAAGTTAAGCAACTGGCACCATCTATTGATAAAATGAAAACTAAAACATAATTTTATTAAATGCTGAAGGCAAAGATGAATTAGAATTAGGGTTGCTAACTAGAACAAAGATTTTTTTGAATGTGAAATGCCTCTATAAAATCTTTCACCAATGGAAGACATTCTTTGAATAATTTTGGCTACAGAAAAATTGAAAGTGTGATTTTTGGACCAACAATGGTGGGCAACAGAGGACTTTTGTGTTTCCTTTTTTCTAACATATGCTTCATGTTCCTTAATGTGAAATTTTAAGGTTCTCCTAGTTTGATCAATGTAAATTAAACCCTACTGGCAAGGAATCCTGCGAATACTCCAGGAATTCATATCCGGAATGGGGTCCTTGAGTATGGAACTCTGAATTTTATTAATAGGAAAATAAACGACTTGAAAGTTAAACTTCTGTAAAATACGTGAAATTTTATAGCTAATCGATGAAAAGAAAGGAATAACAACAGAATTCTTATAATCTCCTAAAACAAGAGTGTGCCTTTTGATGTGTTGAGATAATTTTTTTAACTGCTTGATTAATAATGTTGGGTGAAAATCTGTCAATAGTTACTGCACTGTTGGTTTGAAAATCCCACTTTCAATTTTTCTGCAACCAAAATTATTCAAACATCTTCCATTGGTGAATTAGATTTCCTTGAGGTGTTTCACATTCAAAAAAATCTTTCTGTTCTAGTTAAGGACCCTAATTCCAATACATCTTTGTCTTCAGCTTTTAAGGAAATTAAGTTTTAGTTCTTGTTTCATCAATAGATGACGGCAGTAGCTTAACTTTTGTCCAGTCATTCTTATCTTATCTAATCACTATCTTATCTCGTTCAATTGCATTTTGGCAGGTGAGGATGATGGTTCAGTAAAACCATCAAAACTAGTAATGTGAAAATTTGCAAATGTAATGCTGATTTTTGTTGCTTGACTTCTAAATTAATATGTAGGTATGTTAGAAATTCCCTTACAAACAGTTAAAAGTTTGCTTAAAAAAAAAAAAAAAAAAAAAAAAAAAAAAAAACCAGTTTTGGAAGAGTCAACATGTATTATTTTGCAGTATCACTGAAAATAAGTATCATTTAAGAAAGCAACAGGGGGTAAAACAGGCAGCATTTCTGAAGTGTTATGATGAAATACAGCATGCAGTAAAAAACTGATCACATTAAAATTAATATTAAAAACTTAATATCTTTCAGATCCATTTAAGTTTAATGAAGCAGAATGTCAGGAATTAAAACTGAAATATTTAAATGAATTTTTCATTATTGGTAAATGCTAAACTTCAGATCATGATCAGAGACTTACTTTTTCCAAAACGAAGAGTGAAAAATGCTTCCCTGATGTTTTCAGTAAAAACTGGAATTATTGGCTGGAAATAATAAATAAGAAAGTTTTTACATAAATATACACATATATAAGAAAACACACATGGAATTTTCTTTTTATCAATGCATGCATTGAAAGTGCAAGTTATTTTATGCCCAAAACATGAAAATCATTAAACTTGATCAAGACAAAAAACATGCCTAATTTCCATTTACATTAATTACACTGCCATGGATAGTACGATGAAGAACAAAAGCAGGCATGCACATTAATTTATTCAGGAAACAGAATGAATGTGTATATGAAAGTGACTTTTTTTATTCAAGCACATTTTTTCACTTTTATTTTGCATAATTTTGATGAAAAGAGTATTCCCTATAATTTTTAATAATTTTAAGTTGATATCCTGATTAAGGAACATCCATTCTTATACAATACAGGACAAGAAATAAGGTTCCCACTTCAGAGGGAGTGTTCCCACAAATGAGATAAAATTTGAGCTACAGATATTTCAAATGATTCGCTTGACATTTATTAAATAAAAAAATTTAGTACAAAAATCCACTGATAGGTGGCACACTAACATAAATGGTATTTATTTGCATATATTGAAAATGGGAGGCATCATTTGACTTACAGCACATGCCTATTAGCATTATTCTTTGGATTAAAAAAAAAGACGGTTTCTACTCCAGTACTGGTTACTTCTCTGCTCATCATGCTACATTGCAAGAAAAGCGCTACTGGTAAAATTGTTCTATGAGAACCAGTAGAACTACTGTGCAGCTATAAAAGAATTCCATCATATGAAGCAGATACGAAGAGGTCCAAAGTCTCCATGTGCCTTACGCAAGATGATAAAGAAATTTGGAACAACTGGGCAACTTGGCATTCTTCTAGGTGGCGTATGAAAGCAATCCAGTTTTCTAGTGTCAAAAATGTGACTACGGCCATCTTTGAAGCCAGCAGTCAGTTGCCGAATGGTAGTGTAAGTGTGCCATTTGTTTCCCATGTATTGGGTATGCCGTATTCCGCTCTATGAAAAATCTTATGGAAGATTTTAAATTTACAAACCACTACAAAACTACAAACCACATCTACATTACCACCCTACAAACTACAAACTACATTACCACCCTACAAAACCACATCTGTAAGCCTATTGCAGGATGGGGACTTGGACATTTGTAAGATATTTGCACTTCAGTTCCTTGCTCAAATGGTGGTTGACTCACTTGGCCGTGGAACACTCTGTGGACTGATGAAGCCCACTTTTGCCTCAACGACAAGTCAACACCTACAACTGTTAATTTGGGCAATGGAAAACCCTCACACTATCTAAGAACAACCCTTGCATCCCTTGTGGTTTCACAGCTACCTTATGGACAACTGGACCATATTGTTTGAAGAGATAACTGCAAATGGAATTCCAACCTGTTCAGTAACAGGACAAAGGTATCATGATATGCTGAGGGATTTTGTAATACCACAAATTCAACAGTGTGGATGCTTTCGACATTTTTATGCAGGATGGTGCACCTCCTCACACTGATCTTCGTGTAAAGTAATTGCTAAGACAGCATTTCATAGATGAACAGGTGGCTAGATTTTCCATCAGCATAGCCTCCTCGTTCGCTGGATATTAACCCCTGCAACTTCTGGTTGTGGGTTTTCTTGATGGACAAGATTTACTGTGAAATGCAAGCATCTGTGCCAGATCTGACGGACAGCATTTGGCACCATGTTCTTGATATTTTGGCAGACTCATTCTAGTCAGCTGTGGAAAATATGGTTCTACAATTAGAGTGCATTATTGAACATGAAAAGGAACACACTAAGCAGTTATAATGCTACTCTTTTATGTTATTTAACATTTATAAAGATTATTAAGTGTTTTTATGTGTATTACAGCACCGCTTATCGGCAGATTTTTGTACTACTTTGTTTTTATTTAATAAATGTCAAGCGCATCATTTGAATTATCTGTAGTTCAAATTTTATCTCATTTGTACCAATAGAAAACATTCTAGAGCCCTCTGAAAGTGGGCAACTTATTTCTTCCTAAACCTGTACTTAATAACCTTAAGTTTTACTTTAATTATGCATTTTTGCAATAAAACTGAATGCTTCAAAAGTGCACCTGATAAATAATTATGGAAATTCTCAGATTTAAAATATATGCATGAAATCAATATACACTAAATATAAATGATCAGAACTCGAGATGTGAAATACATAACACTTGTTTTAAAATAATGTTTAGTAATTAAACTACATATTAAGGAAACCATTTTAAGCCAATTAAAAATCAACTTTTGTTTATCAAAATAATTAGAGGTTAAAATTCAATTATCAGCTTTGAAAATGAAATTTAGATGCTCTGTATATGATGCACATCAGAATAGAAATGACAAGCAACTTGAATGAATTATTTGAAATTAACTCATTAGGTGTGTTGGTGTATTTAATTATGGCAAAGCACATGAGGGCTATCTGCCTAAGGGGAGGGATGCCTTCGTGGAGGACTTTCTAAGGGAAACTGGCTTGTATACACGTTACACATGGGGAAAACCACGAAAACGCCCATGCAGCCAGCCCGTTCACGGGATTCGAACCTCGGACCGAACTACCAGTGTTCAGCGACTTTACCGCTCGGCCGCTGGTGGGCCCTTAACTCATTAGGAATTCACATATTTTATTTTTTATATAAATGAGTTCTTATACATGACTGTTAGTCACTTTTTCCAGTGAAACTTACTAGGAATAATATTACTGATAAATTCAGTAAAATAGATTAAGTTTCTAAAAAATATAAAATCATATGATAGATATTTCAATACTTCTATATAATACCTTCTAAAAAGGTAAGTAAAAACATGCATATTGTCTGAAAACGTAGGCCACTTCTTGATAACACATTGTTCTAAATAAACCGCTAAACACATGACATATAAAAAGCTAGAAAGGGGTAAAGAAATCTAAGAAGAACATTCAATAAACTGAGAATCAGACAACAATCAAAGCATATGAATAACTTCAGAAAGGACCACTATAAAATCCTGCATGTTACAATATTACTCCTTAGATGAGTATTTTTCTAACTGACACTCTTATAGAAGTGATCAAAGTATTAACAAAAATCAAACAGTACAAAATGAATAAAGGAAGATATACATAACAAATTTAAATACAGAAAAGATAAAATTATAAATTATTCACTTATTTATTGAATGAAATACTAACCACTTTTGCTTCCATGGCAACTTTTGCAAATCCTTTTCTAGTCCCCCAAATTAGTGGATAGCTTTCATCGCCAAACAAAGCTTCACGGACACCTCCAGGAGCAATAGCAAGTAGATTACCTTTCCGTAAAATATCTGCACAAGTATCGATGGTTCCAGGATATATTTGAAAGCAGTCAATAAGAGCATCAAATGCTAAAAGAGGAATTTTAATTACATAAAAATATATAAAATTATAGTATTAAATTTTCTAATTATGTAATTTTCCAGTACATGATACAGTACAAAGTCCAAGATCCGGACCGGATGGTACTTCAGCAATCCCAGATTTGGGATTTTTCCAGATACTAGACCACGAGTTTAAATCTAGTAAGAGGGCATGTAGAAATTATAAAATTAAAAATATGAAATCGGGATTTATGAAATAATGAAGCATTCATTATCTAAAGGGTATCAAAATTAATGAAAAAAAGCTTAATATTTATTTGTTTATTAAACATTTCTCTCAGCGTAAGTTGTTTAAGTTGCTTCATTTTTTGTGTCACTTTTTTTCTTCTATAGAGAGATATAATTTCTTGTTCAGTAACAAACATCCATTGTTCAAGTCCTGTAATTGCTGTGTCAAGAATTCAGACTGATTTGTCAATCAAAATTTTCCTGTTTTCAATAACCTCTCTGTCACTTTCTTCACTATTGGTAACAGTATTTTCTGGATCTAGAACCATACTGCAAATTTCGCCGTTCATTAATTGATTGATGATTGGGGGGGCATTGTCATCGCAATGAAAAACTTCTGTTATATCATGTTTATTTATTACCGCTTCTTCACATTTCTTTACAAAAAATCCATTAATTGGAAAATTTCGTCTTTGGTTTGCGATATCCGAAAACCTTCAAATTCGTGGCTATCATCTTCATCATCCTCACCATGAAGTATGGTAGCTGGCCATAAATTATGCCAAGTCTTTTTTAAAGTATTTGGAGACGCATCTTCCCACAATCTTGCGATGCTCCAAACAGCAGATGTTATGCTAAAATATTTTTTAAACTCTTGAATAGTCTTGCCATTATTCAAGAAATGTAACACAGACTTTGCAAATTCAAATATTGCCGAGCCTTGGGTCTGAAATGATTTTCAAACTAATTGTTTATCCATGCTCTTGCTTGTGTCATCCATGCTCTTTTACTTCCACGATATATAATGGGAAAATCTTTACTCCTTCACATGCTCGAGGTCGTGTATTTTTTACGATTACGAAAAGTTTACATTTGTGCATGCTAAAATTGTTAGTCTCGCTTTGGAATCTTCGATACCAGTTGCAGATTTTTCTGTAGAGGTTGCCAAGGTATTTCGTTGTACATATTGCTAGAAAAAGACCAGTTCACCACCGTTGTAAATTTGTTCTGGAGATAACTTTTCACTATTAGTTAGTTCAATAAACTCATTTGCAAATAGTTCAGCAGTTTTAGTATCAGCTATCATGAGACTGGCAATGAAACACACGTTGTTCCGCTAAATTTTGCCTAGGTTTTACCGTGAATTGAGACTTAAGCCTGAATTGTATTATTTTAGTTAATTATTATACTTAAGTCTATTTCTTGCACATGCTTAGGCTTACCTGAGTCCTGAATGAATAAATTCCCACATATATTTAAGGCTTATCAAGGACCGGTGCTAGATATCTTACTGCCTAATGCAATCTCTACGGGTCCTAAATTTTGCTGGCAAGCACTTACCTATGTTTTAAAATTTTGCTGCCCCTAAATTCTGGGTCCCACTACTCTCCCTAAATTCTAAAAATTTTATCATCCCTTAATTTTGTTGCTCGGTGCTTCTCTAAATTCCCAAAATTTTGTCTAAATTCTGTTGGCCGGTGTGTCCATAAGAGCTTTGGCATCGGTTTCGGGTTTATGTGAATAACAAATCAATTATTCTTAATTCAAATAGTGCTAATTAAGACTATGAGTATCATTACAAAATTAATTTTTAACATATTGAACTCATCAACATTTCTTAGGGTATGTAACTTAAATCTGTAATAATCCCCTAGCTTAATATCAACATAAAAGGTTACCAAACTCCTTGTTATATTAATATAAAAAGAAATTGTTTAGGTATTGCTGCACGAGTCATTACTCAAGTTGTCATGTGTTGATAAACATGCAGTGATGAAAGTATAAGAAATAATGATTCACTAGGTTGGTGTCAAGGATATAAAATATTAGTTGGTGTAAAATCAACAATGTTTCTATGTAGAATGTTTTGTTTTGAGATGCATGCCAAGCAAATGCAGAGCTACAGAGTCAAATTATTGATCTCACAAATTTATAATAAAATGATTTTTTCTTTAGTAACAAAGTATTTAATTTAGTGCCAAAGTGAAATTAAGAATAGGAATTCTCCACATGCTTTACTATGGGGGGGAATCAAATGTGTACGTATAAAGCATACACAAAAATTTCCTAAAAGGAAAAAAAAAAAAGATTATTGGTGGCTTTGAGGTCCGGATTTTAGATCATTTCAGATATTGGACGTCCGGTTTTTGAAACAGTAATACATTGAGAGAATTTACAACTGCACTTATTATAGAGTTGGAATATCCCTCATTTATAGAACCCGCAAATTAATATTAATATATCTTCCTGCAGTTTCCTTTTTTCCTGCCATTTAGTAGTAAGAGGAAAAATTGTGTTAAATATTGTTACATGTGTACATTTATTCACAAAAAAAAATAAATAAATAAAAAAATAGTGTTACAACTTTTACACAAGAGTATTCTTATGTCTCTTTTCAGTATCAGTAGCTACCATTTCAGACGTTAAGCACAAGGTAATGCAAAGCAAAAGCTTGCATAGTGATTTCTCAGTACCCTGAACTAAAGTGAAAACTGATGCTCTCAACATTCTTGCACAGTTTTCCCTTGTCCGCCAAGAAATTTTCAGAATCTTCGATTTCTCGAAGTTGTTGAAAGGCATAGAGTTGCAGTTACTTAGGGTAAGATAAAGTTGAATTGAACCATATTTACAGTTACAAGGGGATCAGACCAAAATGTTGCCAAATGGTCGCCAAGCTTGGTGACTTTCTGCAATTTCTCGCCATATTTGGAGACAAAAATTAGTTGCCAAATCCATTGCCAACTTGGCATTATATGTTAAATGGATTTACAACTGTACCCTCATTTTTCTAGTGATGCTTTGCATTCTGACACCTTTTATGTTAATTAAATTATACAAGAGATACTACAAATTTACATACAATTTCACTAAAATTATTTACATGTATACAAAAATGTGTACCAATACTGTATGTACAACTGATGTTATGTCTATGGAAGATAAGGACCTTGAGCTATCAACAGAAGATTTTAGCATGCAAACATAAGGGAGCACTTACAGTAATGATGGTGTTCTTGCATCAGTGCACCAAGTAAGAGCAATGAAATAATGTGAAATTTTTGTCAAGCAACAGAATAAAACCTATAAAGGTTCAACATCAAATAAAAGTTAATACAATAACAAGTGTATCAGTTGTAAAGATGTGTATACATGGAATGAGAAGATAAAGACCAGCACTGTTAATATGAATAATTTTCCTTAGATTGGTCACGCAGTCACAGAAGATAACACTGTAGCTGTGTAGAATGTAACAACTGCTAAATATAGAATGCTTCAATTTTTCCTTTCTTGTTGACTTATAGCCACCTTTTTTTGCTGTGCTATCTGACAGATAGGACCTTTGGGAGGCAGAGTCGATTATAGCACAGATTTTTAAACTCTTGATGTCACCTCTCAGAACGACAACGAGGATTTGCAATAGAACACTGAGTTGAAGTAATATTAGCAAAAATCTTGTCTTGATCAGAAGTAGCTTTCTCGCTTCTAACACTTTGTGGAGTTAATTTTTGAAAGTTTCTGCAGAGAAGGCCATGATGAGATTTTCCACAAATCAAGCAGTTAAAATTACTTTGGCAGAAACTAGAAATATGGTTTAGTTTTAACACTGAAAACAACCTCCCTGTTTCATTAGGCATTGTCTTCTTTGTTTGTAAGTTAAATTTGCTACATTTCTGCACTAGATGGGGCTTATCACAGAATACACATTCATGTTCTCTACTCTGTTTACCCTGGGATGAGGTTAAAAGTTCTATACCCATTAGGTTTTCTGGGATTAAAATGGAATGTTCTTTAGGATACTCTATACTGCAATCTAAAATTTAATGATTATGGAGATATAACTTTAAACAAGAAAATTATTCTGTCTTTGGCTAGTCAGATATTCGATCTTATAAGTTTTTGTCATCCGATTTTGACTCCGAAAATTTTAATACAAGAATGCTGGTGAAGAAACCTGTCATGGGATGCCAGACTACAGTGTGATCTCAAGGAAAAAATTCCTAAAATGGACAAATGAACTGAAGTTTTTGCAAGATATCAGAATTCTCAGAAGAATATTGAGTAGCTTAATTTCTGATTTCAAGTGTTTTGTGATGAGCCACAACATGCTTAAGCGACCTGTATATATCTTACACAAGAAAATTATTTTGTTGCAAAATGTTAAATGGTACAAGCTCATGCTTGCAAAGCATCTTTGAAATCTGTCTCAGTTTCTAGACTTGAACACACAGCATGCTGTTTGGGAGTCAGACTGATAAATTCTATTGAAAAGGATTTTCCCTATGACAGAACTCAAATTTTCTACTAGTCAGAATTAATGCTTTATCTAGATAAAAAAATCACAAATCTTGGGCGGTATTTGTTATGAACCATGTGAATGATCTTTGAGCAACACAGATAGCTGGAAGTTTGTACCAGGAATCTTGAATCCTGCTGACTTCCCATCATGAGGTTTCAATGCTGATGCTTTAATTAAATCTATCTGGTGGAAGGCTCCTGAGTTTTTGAAAACCCTCATCAGCAAATGACCAGAGAACTAACTCTTTCCTGAAATGCAAATCGTGAACTCAGAAAAGAAAAAGACGATCATTTCAACCTTGAACATGGAAAACTGGGAAAAGTTTTTTTTAAACATTCTTCTTACTTGAAGTTAGAGAATTACAAGGTGGATATGCAGATTCATCTCCAACCTTCGAAACTCCCATCATACTTCAGGAAAGAACTGAAGCATGCTGCAATAGTCTTGATCAAATAGTTCAAACATAACAGTTTCCAAAAGGAACTGGTGGTCATTTGCAGAG